CTAAATGGTAATTTAAAATTTATAGCTATTTTTCTCAGACATCAGTTTCATTTCCAGGCAAAGAATAATCAAGAAGAAGAAAAAAAAAAACTTGTGCATTATAGGTTGCTGCTATGTCACCAACACATATTTATCTAGCTACATTTGTTTGCTGCACATTTTTCTTAATGATTCATGCTGGAACATGGTTATCATTCAGTAAGTTTGAATTTTGAAAATTTCCAAAAAATGAAAATGGCCAAAAATGATCAGTAAAATAGTTATTTATTGAACTTATTAATTGTCACTAATAAGCTTAATTAGCTATCAGTAAAGTTGAAATTATAAATGACAACTATCTCTTATTAATTAGAATATATAAAGCTATCTTCCCCATTGCTTAATGCTTATTTATTCATTTCCTCATTTTGATCATACCACTGAAGTTCATCCCAATGATTTTTTCCAGTAAATTCAGTTAAATGTTAATGACTCATGCTGGGACACTATTATCAGTTATATGCTTAATTAGTTAGCTATACTAGTAAAGTTATAATGCTTAATGAGTTAGCTATAGGTGGTAAAGATTGTTAAATCACACGAATGATAAAAGGAATCTTTCCGTTCTTCCTTTTTTTTTTTCTCATTGCAATTCAAAGCAATGGATGAAATAAGAAACTGGAACAAATTAGTCAAGCCAAATTCGTTCAAGAAAGTCAATTATTGAATATTTTTATTATTTTCATCCAGAACTATTTACAGATCAAAAAGCAGAGAGTCCCAGCTTTTTGATACCATATCTAATCACTGATAAAGATTTAACAAATGTTATGAAAATGTGCAAGGAAAGAACTGTAAGTTTATCTCTTTTAATTTAATTAATGAATTATTCAGCTACAAGGTCGAATTATGACCATATATATTTTTGAAAATTCTAGAAAAAAAAGACTTAACAGAAGTGAATTTGTAAAAGTGAACAAATTGAACCCAAATAGTAGAGTAAAATACTGAATGATAAAGATATAAAAATGTTAGTATAATTTTGGAAGTGGTAAAATCAATTCGATAAAAATAAATATTGAGGAAGAGAGTGGAGGAGTTATCATTTCCGATAGATTGAAAGAAAAAATGAGGCAGTAAGTGATACTACATTAAAATTGAGGATGCAGAAGCCAAAGTGAGGAATATGGATGAAAACAAACCGTTTCATTTTTTAGTTAATTTCATTTCCATCAATTTATTAATTAATACGAAATTGCAAATTTTAGAACTGATAAAGATCAATTCGATTTCAGCTAAATTAGCAATAAACAGAATGGTCTGATTGCTGGAAACATTAAGCTTCTTTAGGAACTCCCAAATGGTACATGTCAAACTTCTTTAGGAACTCCCAAATGCTATATGTTTGACATTTGCCATACGGTCATATCGTGGCTTAAGAATGAAAACAATTTCATTTCCTTTTTGAATCAAAAAAAAAAATCCAAATAATTTTCCGGGAATTAATATATTTATAAATGACATTTACAGAATACACAAAACGTGATATTACGATCAGAACGAAGTTTCGTCGAAATATGTGATGCACTATCGGATCTCATTTCCTGAAGAAGATAACCATTAAATATGATCATTTATAGCATAAATAATAATACATGCTAAACAGAATTTCCTTGACACAACGTTAACATACATAAGTTATGAAAAAGAAAAAGAAGACATGTATGGCGTATTTTTATAAAATTTAAAATTTTTTAAAAATCCAAAATAGACATGCAGAAAAAAAAAAGAAAAAAAAACCTTACAAATTGCACAACAATCAAAAATTGTGATGGATGATTGAGATGTAGGCTTAAATTAATATTCACAATTTTGAAAAATTTGTTTTCCGCACAACATATACTGCTGTTCCGATTATTTATAAGAAACAAATCTTAATTAATTCCTTTAAAATGTGAAATTTCATAAATTTTATTCCATCAAGCTATAAAAGGTATTTATTAACAAAATAATTTGAAAAAATTTTAAATGACTGTGATTGTTCGATTATTTCCACCATAATCTGACAATAATGATAAGTAATCAATAGTGATTATCATATATAGTAAATAAAATGCTATAAAAAATAGTGAATTCTCCAAAAGACCCAAATATTCGGAATATTCCGGGAAAAGGCTGAACAGCAAATTTTTTCCCGATATAAGATTTTATAAATGTGAAAGTAAACCTAGCTTTCCTGTTCAACTTTGATTACACATACATTTCATGCAAAACCAAATTTAGCGTAAATTAAAATAAGACATTAAATTAAAAGTTGTACGTTTACAACGTAGCTTCCTATACGATTTATATTCCGAGGAAAAAGTTCAAAGGTCAGGTGCCTGTAAGCTTAATTCTCAGCTTAATTTCCATTATTGTTAGCTGAAATCTTCGTCGTCTTGCACGCAATTACAATGTATTACTTCTTTCTTTGTCTTCCCATTCAAAAACTGCTACTAGTGGTGTAACTGTTTACAAATTCAAACCTATATCTTAAAACATCCATTCCCTTTCTATAATGATGTTTTATGTTTCTTGAAAGAGTTCAAAGGTCGAACATTTAAATTTAGTCATTTCTTAAATTCATCCCAGAAGAATAATATAAATGATATTCCACGAATTTTGAGCAGATCACCAAAAAATTTGTTAAATATCATCGAAGACTGAAACAAAGTACACGAAAAACGCACCAAAATCCAAAGAGACGACCAAAGTGACAGTTCGCCCCCATCACAATCTTCAATTCCCTATCCGCTCGGTATGAGCCATATTTCACTCGTTGAAAACTGGAGAATACAATTTCGGTATGCGATTTTCAACAAACTTTCTCTAAGGTTATTGTGATGTTGGATTCGAGAATTAGTGAGGATTAATTACTTATTTATTCGTCTACTTGTTTATTAACTCATTTACTCATTTACCCATTTACTGATTTACTCATTCATTTAACCTAAATGATCAGGCTCGGGTATTTGATGAATTTCTTAATTATACAATTTTTTCAATGACTTATGGTCAGTATTTTTTTTTACAATTTAATTTTTTCACATGGGATGTACTGGTGCTTGTGTAATGTCTTATGCACTAAATAGGATGAAAACTGATGATACTAATATATCAAATAATTACGGTGGAATTCAGTGATTTCGGATGCTGACCGTCCGCTCATTGAAGTATTTTAGGTCATCGGGAACCAAATCCGGAATGTCATAACCGCTGGTACTTGTCATCTTATTCTAAATGGGATATTTCAGATTACTAAATTCTGAAGATACAAAGGATTGTCCACCATGAAGAGTATTCAGTCATTCAATAGGATGCATATCTTTATGATGGCATAACTATATGAAGCTAAGAAAAATTGGTTTTCGGGGAAATAGTTTGTAGTGATGGCCTTCAATGTCTATTTGAATTATTTGATTTTTGTGGGACAATGTAAAGAAATTGATTCTTTTGATATTTTGAAAAGAAATTGATTTTCTTGATATTTTGAGGATATCTAATTTACTCATCTCCTGACACTTCTTATTCAGAATTTAAGAAAGGCGAATTTTTCTAGCATGCGTTTAAGCATTTCCTTATATCCATTTACATATATTCACACTTCTTTTATATCTCATTGTATCTTTTCAAAAAATCTAACTTTCTTCTTTTTTTTTTTACATTTACAGTTGGTTATAATGGCGGACAGACGTAAAGGTGGGAGAAAAAAATCCAGTGATGTAAGTGTTATTTTGATTATTTTACGTACAGATAGATTGGATAGATAGATAAAGTAAATGATTCTTTAGCAGATTATGAGATTTAATAATGAACAGATACGGAATTGAATAATCAGACAAATCAAAGGATCACCAGTGTATCTGTTTGCTCAGTTATTTAGAGTACTGCCTTTCTGTCCCGTATCCTTCTTTTTTTTAATTCTACTCATATCCGTCATATTAATGAGAAAGTTAAAATATTGCTAATTGAAGTGTTTTCACTCCTTTTTTTGATACTGAAAATTTCAGCCAAATCAAAAGTTGACGAAAGAAGAAGATACTATTGCACGTTACGTTCGATTTAATTGTCCAACAAAGACAACAATGTTTGAAGGCAATGAAGTACATTATTTTACCGGTATTGGTTTTCCCTTCCATTGCTTTTCTTGAATCAAGGTTTATGTTTTATGTGTTTTTCAGGAATGGGCAAATCCCTTTCCATTTTGCATAGAATAGAAGAGGGGAAAAAAGAGAAAGCAAATGAGACGGAGGATCACAATGTGTTGTTGTAAAACTTGTTAATATGATAATGTTGTTCATTTATTTTTAAATGGTTCCCGTTTGAATCTAAAGCTGTGAACGGTTTAAGGTGCAAAAGCAGTTGACACATTGTATGAATCTAAGAAATATGGTCATGCAGCGAAAGATATAAAATTCGCTACACGACAGGCAGCTGTCATGTTTATGCGTTCACTCCTGGAAAAAGGTCTATTTTTTCGGGCAAGGAAGCTAGTTCCAAAAAAGAAGGACGATAGGAAGGTTGTCTTTAATTTTTATTTAAAGATTACATAATATTTCCATCTGCTCTTTGCTTCTTTTCACAATACAATTTCCAAATCATCGAATACACAATTTTCAGGACCAAAAAGAAAAAGGGACTGATGTGAGCAAGTCGCCAAAAAAGAAATCAAATAAGGGTGACCAATTTGAAAAGGAAAAGGAAAAAGAGAAAAATAAGGAAGAAAAGAAAGAGGAAAGCGATGACAACGACGAAGAGAATGGAAAAGATAAGGATAAGAAGAAAGTGAGTTTTTTGTTTTAGTGTTTACCGGAGATATGATTTACCATTCTCATGTTATACTTCCAGGAAGAGGAAGAGAAGAAAAAACGTAAAATCAAATTAGAACTTCATCTGGAGCAATCATTTAATGACGCAAACGATGTATATGTTTGGATCTTTGATCCAACACCCTTATACAAGAAAGTTATCGGTGCTCTTATGGGTTAGTATCTCGTCTATTGCTTTCTAATACTTAATAATATCATAACTTCGTACGATTTTAGGAAGGGGAGGGGGAATTATTGCTTCCCTTTCTATTGCATGACTTCTTGTTATGAGAAGATAGCTGACTGTTATCCTCTGCAGTTCTTGTATGGTTAATAAGCTTGACGAGTTAAGATTTGATGAATATCAATGAGGAAACTCAGCATCATCGTACCAAAGTACGAGGGTTGATGGTTTTTTCAACATTACTGTACTTTACATTAATCAGTAATGGTGTTTCATTCTTTTACTAATACTTTTCTTTAATTCCAGCAATAAATGATATTGTTAAATTGAGGATTATACGGTTTAAAATAATTCCAAATCTTGTTTGTCACTACATTCTTCTGTAAAAATATGTCTTGATGCCTGAACAAATTTCTTTTTTCCTTTTTGTTTTAGTCGTAGTTTGAAGAATAGTACCTGCTACACGAGTAAAAGTATAGTAGACAAGCCATAAAAATCTACGAAGCCATAGAATTAAAAATAAAAAAACAAAACATTGGTTGGTGTTTTAAATTATTTCAGTATTGGGTACCATAGCGGGTTGTTTATTCCCTCTTTGGCCGATGTGGTTACGTCAAGGCGTTTATTATTTATCAGTCTGTGGATTAGCTTGCTTTGGATTGCTTATTGGTGTTGCAGTAGGTGAAGCTTTAGATTTTCAATTTTATGATTTTGTCATTAGAATGAACATTTTTACATTTCTTCATTTTATTTAATTCTTACAGCTCGAACGATATTATTTGCCATAATTTGGGCAGTTACTATGGGCAAACATAAATTGTGGTTGCTACCTAATTTAACGGAAGATTGTGGCTTCTTTGAATCATTCCAACCTTGGTACACTTATGAATATTGCTCTGGTGGAATCGCCGCAAGTAATAAAAAGAAAAAAAAGTGATGGCAAAAAGAAATCTGGTAATTTTTTTAGCAGTAACTGAATATAATTTAAATGAGATTCTTTTGATCGACGTCATATGTCGTATTGATCTCAGTGATGTTTTCATTAGCGAACATTCAGATGATGAGGAACCATTAATGGGTAAAAAAGGAATGAAAAGCGGTGAAAGTGACAGTCAGACAACTGAAGTAAATGAGAAGATCGGGAAAGAAAATCAGTCTCGAAGAAAAGAAAGTGGAGATGAAAATGCCGATTTAGGCAATGATAATGAAAATGATGAAACGGATGAAAAAGTGGACAGTACTTCGGATTCGGATGGTAGAAGCAGTCAGGTTACTAGAGCTTCATTTTTATAATTTTATTTTTTAAAATCAAGTTTTACAGAGATTTCAGCCTCATGTAAAGAACTATCAATTGTATTAGAAAGTAGAAGAAGACCTTCAGCCTTAATTTTGTAATTTCTTATCAAGGATAGGAATTCTTATCATTTATTAAACGACAATAGTTATCTGTAATTAATTGTTATTGTTTGATAAATCATAATACAATTTTGAGATGCTAAATCTTATTTTGGATTTTAGTACACTATGATATACATTCTCCAAGACGTTGAAAAGTTTGTACTTTTGGTAGGTGTGATAGGAAATAATTCATAGAAAAAAATACCGATAAATTACTATGATCGATCGTATTTTTGAGTAAATGGTGCATATGATGATTTCTATTACTTTTGCTGCGATTTAATTTTTCTTCAGGAAACGAGTGGTTCACTGAACAATGGCGGTGATACTGGAAGTGGTGAAAGCGGTAATGATGATCGTAAGATAAGATTAAGACGACGCGCTAGGAAAGCAGACGACGATTTCGTACTTATTGATGAATGATTCCGGTTTGATTAAATGTTATTTATTTAAACTTACGCTTCTCTACTTTCTAACGTTTGCTACAGGGATAATAATAATAGGGTGTTAGAGGATCAAAAATCATTAATGTTTCAGCATGCTTTAATTCTTCAAGAAAAAAAATCAATTTTTTGTCGTAATGGTTTGTAGATAGGATTCTTTCGTCAGTTTGTCAAATATTCTGGGTATTTTATTTACATCATTTCAGTACATCATAATGTGCAGCTTAATTATTTCAATTGTATAATTGGATGATTAGGCGCAGCTTATTTTTTATAAATTTTTGGAATAAAATCTTAAACTCCTTAAAATTTCTTTCAACTATTTGTTTTCTTGAGCAGTAACTAATCACTTCTGGACTCTCATTTAAATATTTCCAGTTTGATTGCTGTCACTTTCGCAATGCTCTCTTCTTGCGATCTATTCATGCTAACTTATGGCTTATTTTATATGAAGATTTAAAAAGAAAGTTCAGAAAGTAGTAATGGAATCTTTTGCCAAATTTTGCTTTTGCAAATTTTGTGAAAAAGGAGTTCATATTTTTCTTTCTTTCACTACATATTTCTTTACGTGTAAATATTGTAATTTAGTACTGCTTTTCAAATAATTCATTTCATATTCTCTGCACAAATAAGCTTTGTTCTTATTTTTAAATCATTGTACTTGCTTATGTTATAGGCATGACTTTCATATATTATATATTTCTGTCATAAATCGATTTTGACATTGATTTCCTACATTTAAAAAAAAATTCGGATTTTCTTCATTTCTCATCTTTCGTTGCTGATCAACAGCTTCAACATTAATGCGAACGATTTGACGACTATTTGACGGCTAGATCTCTGTTTCGAGAAGCATGTGAACCTACCTGGCTTAGGGTTGGGAGTTCGTGTATTAATACATGGTTGAATACTAATAATGGTTATTTTTTAGCACAGAGATATATAACCAGTTTTGCAACGATCATTTGATGGTTTTTTTTAGTTTTATTTGGCAAAAGTTTCCTTTCTCCTCTTCTAATTTTAATGTGTAAAATTTATTACGTATATGATAGGGTTCAGAGTTAAGTAATGAAAATATGATTAAATCACTTTGGTTTAACAGTATCATGATATTTTTTCTTCAATACCAACAAATATTAGGAACTATGAGATGAATATCTTCGAAACATCATAAATCCTCTGATCCATGTTATGGATTTCCAATTTACAGTTTTCATTTAGTTCAAAGTTCAAGATTTCATGTTCATTTGTTATATTTCATGATGATCACTTTTGTTAGGATACTTTTGATTGCTTCAATTTAGCATTAACAATAATCGATTTAGTTGGAACTTGTTGAGCTTTTACTCGTTCCCAACATAGCAATACATTAGCATCTTTGGTACACCATTGCATACCAACTATCGTATAAACTATCAGGAATCGATCCTTAAATAACATTAGCTTCCTTTTTTTACTCTTTATTATGAAGTAAAAAAAAAAAGAAAAAGATTAAAACGTGATTAAAAAACATATCATTTCCAATACTTTCAACAATTTCAACTTTTAATACTTTTTTTTGTGATATTTCTTCTCCAAAATACATCAAAAAAAAACTCCTTTTGATGCTTATAAATAGGTACAATTACAAGTGAAACTGGAAATTGTAAAAATTAAGTTTGTAAAAGTGGAAACTGTAATAAGTAATAAGGTTACAAAATTGGAAATTATACAAGTCTATAAAACAGAAAATTATTTAAATCTGCAGAATTAGAAGTTTTGTAAAAGTTAATCCTGTAAGTAAACATTAAATTTATCATACAATTAAATGTTTTAACATAAATTTTAATTCTTTTATGAATTGTACAAACTACATATAATTATAAATTGATAAGCTTTTCATAATCATTTCTATTGTCAAGTAGAGTTGTAAATTAAAAATTTTTTTTTAGATCAAATATTTTATAAAATTAATTCTTTGCATGAATTTCATAAATTTTGAGGAGAAATTTAAAAACTATAAATCGTATTGTGAAAATTTTCTTTTTCTTAAAAAAAAGAATTCAAAAATGTTATTGATTAATATTAGTAATGTAACGAGAAATATTTGCAACCATTGCATCAATTTCACAATCATGACGATATACTAGGATGATCGTTTCATGTTTTGGTTGTAATATGCCAGCGCAATCAAGAATACTAATCCGTTTATTTGACGTACATTTAATCTAAAACTATTTGGTATTAAATTTGAATTATTAAATCGAAATACTTCAACGATAAGCTAATAAGCTGACAATAATGTAAAATAATTAAAATAATTATGTCATAAAATGATTTGTTTATATTTTCAATTAATTTATCAGGAAGGGAATATTTGATTAACCTAAGTATATTTTATTATTATTATTATTATTATTATTATTATTATTATTATTATTATTATTATTATTATTATTATTATTATTATTATTATTATTATTATTATTATTATTATTATTATTATTATTATTATTATTATTATT